CTAATAATGCTGATGAAGCGGGACTAATGTTAGATGCAGTAGTAGCTAATTATAACAAAGGTTTTTCAATAAGAAAAGTATTACTAGGCGACTCGGCAACAGTACGATGTGAAATCTCCCTCAACAGATATTCTTTCTTTGAATCATTAGATGATAAACTTCTTCCAAATACAAAAATTGAATTAAATATTCAACTAGAATCAGATGGTAATCTTATCTGGCGAGCTGCTGGAAATGATTGTAGAGTTGTACTAACAAGATTTCAACTATTTGTTCCAAGAATAACATTTAACAAAAAAGGACAAGAAATATACCTGAAAAATTATCTCAAGCCCTACAAATGGATGTATCTTAATGAAGTAGTAGAGCGATCAAATAACTCTCAACAGCAAAACAGGTCATTTTAGAATTACAAATGCTATCTCAAAACCTCGCCATGTCTTTGTTTTTGCGATTAACACAGCTAATATTGATTCTCAAACCGCAAATCCATTTTTATATAATACTTTTAATCTACCAAACAATGCTAACATGTCTCGTTGTTATCTAGAGGTTGGAAATGGAAATGAATACCCTGATATTCACTTTAAACCAGCTACAGATCCAGCAAGAGTGTTTCGAGAAGTAATGGGTTATATTTACGCAAATAATGACTTCCAAGGTGGAACACTTCTCAATAGAACAAATTTTGAGTCTTTGTTTCCTTTTGTTTATTTTGACCTAACAAAACAAAAAATGGATATAAAAGATGGTGTAACAAAACTAGCTTTTCATTACAAACTAACTGCTAATCCAAACGCTGATTATAATATTTACGCTCTGGTACTTCATGAGCGAGTGGCAGAAATCGAACAGCAAGGAGGAAAACTATTGCTTCGTGCTTAATCTAAAAATAAAAATGGTAAATCAACTGGGTGAAATTACAATAAAACAAAGAAGAAAAGATTAAGTGATATAATTAAATTTAATATAAATATTATAATAAAAAAATGACTACTTATTTTGAATATGGAGTAAAACTTACAGATGGTCAAAAGTCTAAACTGGCTTATGCAGTAAGAAATAAATCACCACTAACTCTTCGTTTAAAACATTCTCATCTTCAAGGTTCTGATGAGTTAATGCTTACCCAAAGACAAATTACTAAAATTAAAAAATCAATTAGAAATGGAAGAGGATCAGATATAAAGATAAGTAAAACTCAGATTAGAAAATCTGTAAAACATGGTGGAAACTTATTTTTTTCACTTGCTTCTCTTGGAGCAAAAGTACTACCATACGCAATAAAAGGAATTTCTAAAGCTGCTCCTGCATTAGCAACTGGTGCTGCAACCGCACTTGGAGAAATAGGTTTAAATAAAATATTTGGGAAAGGAATTTCAATTCCAAAAAAGTTTATCCCAATGTTACCAGCTATTAAAGGAGAATTGACAAAATCACAAATAGATCTAATAAACAAAATTTATCAATCAGGTGGGCGACCGGTTATCAAACCAACTCGTAAACAGAAGGAGGATTTCTTGGAACTCTTGCTTCTATTGGAATTCCAATGGCAATCAGTTTAGTATCTAAGATGTTTGGTGGGGGACTTCAGGTTGATAGACGTGGATCATCTAATACAGCAAATGTTTACTTTCCACATCCTCCTCCACCACAAACACATGGTGAAGGTTATCCTTATCACTTTCCACCACCTTTTTTAGGTAGTTGGGAAAACCCAATAGGAATGGGAGTTAAAAAAAAAAGTCCAAAGGAAAAGGTCTTCTTCTAGGAAAAAACAGTCCATTCAACTCAATTCCCATTCTAGGAACCATTTTGTAATTAAACCACTGTCCAACTTTGACCTTATGAAATGGATAAAAAGACTTGGTATTAAACATTTTAGAGGAATATACAGTCGAGATGGACTACCTAATAAGATAAAAAAAGAATGTGGAATAATTAATCTAGATGATATGACTGGCCCTGGAACACATCGGGTCTGTTATAGAAATATAGATAATGTAGTTGAGTACTTTGATCCATTTGGTCTGATAATGCCAAATGAAGCACTGGTGTATTTTAATACTTCTGGAAAACGCATAGTTTACTCAATGGATGAAATACAAAATCGCAATACTGTTCTCTGTGGTTATTGGTGTTTATATTATCTGTTTGAGCGACAACGGGGTAATAGTATTCTTGATGTAATACATAACCCACATTTTGATAATGACAATAGTGATTTTATAAAAACATACTTTGGAGGATAAAAATAATATTTATTAAATATTATTTTTTTAATCTTCTTCTTCGTTAATTTTTCTAAAATTATTAATTGAGGAAATTAAAAAATTTAAATATTCATATTTTTTAATAAGTTTATTAAATTCTTCATTATTAGCTAACATTGAAATACCCCCCAAAAAACTAACTTCTTCTAATTTTAATCTTTCAGAAAATATAGGAAATTTAAATGATTCAGAATTTATACTACATTCAAATTTTTCAAAAAGTTCTTTTCGAACTTCATCCCTAATACTAACTATATTATCTAAAATTTCTTCCATTTTTATATTTAATTTTTATTCTTTAAATCTATTTTAATCTCCATCAACTGGTGCATCCTTTAGCTGTTTAACCCTATCAACTTTTGTATTTAGATCTTTAACACTATCAATTATGTCAACAAAATTTGAGTAAATGTCAATAAGACGATAAAGTTTCTTCTTTTTATCACTATTTATCTGCAACCAAGAATATTCCTCATTTCTGATTCTTTTCCAAATATTAATTTCACCTACAATTAGTATTCTAGAAAGATTATCATTTTTCTTTCTAAGAGACTCAAACTCATTATTTATTTTTGTCCTTACTTCTTTCTCGAAATCCTTGAGTGTTTTAACTTCCATATTTTTCTCTATCTCAGAAAAGAATTTGGCTTCCATTTACTATATAAACAGATAATTTTCTTTTACAACTTTGTTGAGAGTATTTGATTTTTCACTTATTTCCATAAGCAACTCAAATACTTTTATAAATTTAGTATCATTTTCCAATCTAGAAAATTCAGCATATTCATAACTCATGTTAAGGTTATTGTATATCTTTTGAAGTTCACTTTTTAGAAAATTAGATCTAGTAGACATATTTTTATCTAAACATTATATTAAATGAAAGAATCATATTGCATCGTAGATAAAAGAGTAACTCCTTGTACAGAGCCAAGTGGTTACCAAACTGATAAAAGAGGTAGAACTCAATTCTTTTGTAGATGTGCAGTTTGTGGAAATAAAAAAGTTAGATATGTGAAAACTGGATCAGCTTCTCAAACTGGAAGTGGTAAAAAGAGAAAAACAAAAAAGAAGTCAAAAAACTAATTAGCCCGTCTAAAGGGGCGGGCGTCTTTGATACTGTTGTTGGTACAGCAGTTGATGGTTTTGTTCATTACGGTTTACCTTGGATGGGAAAGAAAGCAGTTGAAATGGTGCGATATGGAACAAGCGAGTTAATGAGAAACAAAAATCTTCAGAAGAAAGCTGTAAACTATGGGATTAATAAACTCACTCCATTTATTCAAGATTCTGTTGGATCAGCTATGGATCAGCTGTCAACTAAAGTTAGACCCAAAAAGAAATATAAAACTAATAGACCGGAATTAGATGGAAGGGGAATAGATATTCACAAACAGATTGGTAAATTAACAAGACCCGCAGGCGGATGGACCTTACCAGGTCATAAATACACAGGCCCCTACAACGATCTCGAAAACCAAGTAAGATACAATCCAGAAACTGGTAAAATATTAGAAATTTATGATCAACCAACTGATCCAACTGATGCTGTGGCTATGCAGCATGATGTTGATTATAGTGTTTGTGGTGATGACCGAAAGTGTAAAAATAAAGCAAAGCTGACAGAAAAATGGTAAAATCATTAGATGCTATTCCTTGGAAACAAAGACAATGGGGGCATACTTTAGTTAGAACAATAATTAATACAAAACAAAAACTTGGTCTTGGAATTCAAAAAAACGCGCGTCGGCGTTGAGTAGTGATTGGTCTCAACAATTAGCCGACGAACTTCACAAACCAATCACACGAAACTTTCAAAAGAGATTAGTAGCCTCAAACGGAATTGATGAAATTTGGGCTGCTGATTTAGTTGAAATGCAAAAGTTTAGTGGGTGGAATAAAGGAATTAAATATCTGCTGATGGTTATTAATGTTTTTAGCAAGTATGGTTGGATTAGAGGTTTGAAAGATAAGAAAACTGAAACTGTTAGTAAAGCATTTGAGAACATATTCAAAAGTAAACGTAAACCAAAGATGCTATGGACAGATAAAGGTTCTGAGTTTATTAGTAAACATTTCAAAGATTTTCTAAAAACAGAGGGTATCAAACTGTATCATACTGAAAATGAAGAAAAATCTAGTGTTGTTGAGAGATGGAATAAAACAATGAAAAACAGAATGTGGAAGATGTTTACTGTAAATAACAACACTCTTTACTGGGATAAGTTAGATAAACTAGTTAATGATTACCATAACGCGAGACATTCTAGTATAAAAATGACTCCTGTTGAAGCAAGTAAAAAGAAAAATGAAAGTAAAGTTTTGTCTAATTTGTATGGCGATTCTATTTACTTAAAACCTGGTAAATCAAAGTTTGCGGTTGGTGATGAAGTTAGAATTTCTAAGTATAAGAGAAAGGTATTTGATAAAGGTTACACACCAAACTGGACAGAGGAAATATTTGTGATTAATAAAGTTTTACCAACAAAACCTATTACATATAGCATTGTTGATTTGGTGGGAGAAGAAATTAAGGGTTCTTTCTACGAGCAAGAATTGCAGAAAGCAAAACAGCAAACATTTAGAATAGAAAAGATTATCAGACGAGATAATAAGAAAAAAATGGCATTAGTAAAATGGAGTGGATATCCTGATAGATTTAACTCATGGGTAAGTTCTAAGGATTTGGTTGATTTTTAATACAAATTTTGTATTAAAAATAGTTATCTACTCATTTTCTTCTTTATCAGATAAAAGTAAGTCTTCAAGTACTTGATCACTTATCTCTTCACCTTCACTCTCTTCCTCTTCCTCATCAATTGTTAGTAAAGCCTCTCTTGGTTTTAGTGGTTTGACATAACACTCATGTACTTTTATTTGTAAAGATGTAACAGTCTTACTTATAAAGATTCCTTCAATTATCAAAGCTAATTTAACATTGCAGTACTGGTTAATATATTTAAAAGGATTTAAATCTTTACCTCCATTTCCCTTAAACAAAGATAAAATTTTCTTTGATTTTTCTGAGTAAATAAGTTTTGCGTAAAGAACTGGTGAGGATGATTCATCTTTTTTTGTTTTCTTCTTTCCTTTCTTATCTGTATATTCTATCTGTTTGTAGTAAAATGGTGGAAATAGAGTTGATGCTAGATCTGCACCGTATTCATTCTCTAAATGTTGTTGGGAGAAAGTTGTTACATTGTTAATAACATCAAAAAATGCTTTTTCTTTATTATTTGGCTCACTATCTTTAGCCCAAAGACATACTGGAATACTATAACCTACTAACTTGTTTGTTTCTTGATTTTTCTTTTCATTAACACCAAAACTAAAAAGAACTGGTGTTTCTAATACTAAAGCTCCTTTCTTTCCATTTGGATATTTGACCTCAATTGGGATACGTTTGTATTTAATCTTGCTATCTTTGACTTTGTACTCTTTGGCTTCATTAAAGATAATATTCTCTTGGGTAATATTTTCGTAGCTGGACAACTGCATCTTTTTATTATAAAAATTATTTCTTTAAATCATTTTTTAGGCCAGAGTAAATTAACCGACCAATAGTTAGCTGATTCTGGATTAGTATGAGTTAACTCTCCCTGTTTATTTTTTTATCTTTGTAGCTCTAGAAAGATATTTATCTCTTCTTTCTTTATCTTTGTGAATAGTGTAGTCTGGATATTTTGGTGAGCCAAAATGAATTTTCTTTCCACCTGGAAGTGTAGCCATGTATTTGTTATTTTTTCGTGTTGAATAATCAAGAGATTCAGCACCGAGTTTTTTAGCATTTCTCGCTAGTTTTTTAAACTCTTTTCCACTAACAAGATACTTTTCGTTTGGAACATAATCTGGATCCACATCATGTCTATAACCATCATCAACTATAAAATCCAAATCCTCTTTTGTAGGAGTAGTTTCTCTTGACCTTGGTTCCATTTTTATTACTTGTTTATACTAATCCTAATTCTTTTTTAAACTTTTGTTCCCTTCTGTATATTTCTTCATGTCCTATTTCTTTTACTTGCTCTGGAGTATACATATGAGTAAACATGAGACTTTTACAAAAGGGATCTAGTGGCTCATCATTTCCAAGAGCTTTAATAACACCAACAATACTCATCTTTGCAGTATCAACAACACCCTCTAAATAACTACAAAGATAATGAATCTCTTATTTATCTTCGTCGAAAGAAGTTTTTTTAGGATTTAAAATATAACTCATATTATGAAAAATACCATAATACCTAGCTAATGTTTTTGCATAACTAATCTTATTCTCATCACCACTCTCTTTTAATTTTTTCATTGCTTCACTCATAGTTTTTTTCTTTCTTTCTCTTTCTATCCAACCACAACTTTACAACCCATATCTTCAAATTGTTTTAATAAATCTTCCATTTTTAGATATTGTTTAAATTAGTTAAGTAGCCATTTATTTTTTATATTTATAATTATAAGGTAGAAGATTGACATTTAGTATTTTATACCAATCTTTATAATATCTTCTAACTACTTCTTTTTCACTAACAGAATTAATATAACCTTCTTCTCGAATTTCTGGATTTGGATATTCTTCTAACATATTATATAATTTATGATCTTTATCATTTTTAATTTCTTCTATTTTTTCCTCTAATGTTTTAAAAGTGCTATTAACGTACACTTGTTTTCCAGGAAAATGAATTGAAAAAACTTTCTTAATATCATCCATTTTAATTAAATATATTTTTTACTTTAAACCATTTTTAAATATTATAACATTTTTTTTTGTTATAAGATTAATAACTATCACTATCACTGTCACTATCAAAATGAATATCAATATCAATATCACTATCACTATCACTGTCACTATAATAATTAAATTCTTTGTATTTAATTTTAAGCTTACTAAAAAATAATTCGAAATCATCATATACTTTCCCCAAAAGTAATGATAGCAACATTTCAGATTAAAACACCGTAGTTTTCAATTGTATTTTTGTCCTTAGTATTGTCAGGCCGTTTTTTACATGAGGAAACTTTCAAAGTTTGATTTTAAGTGACGCGACACGAGGAAACATCGATTTTTCAAAAACGTAGTGTTCCGCGCGTTTTTGCTTTTTGTTCCTTTAATTGCTTTAGGAACAACCTAGGAACGCACAATAAAGGAACTTTATTTGCACAATAGGAACAAAGGTCGGCAAATTTCGGAACAATCTGGTCCGTTAGCAGCAAATTGGAACACAAAGTTCCTTTTCATTTTAGTCAAAAGGAACAACTGGTTCCTCTTTTATCCTTTCAGGAACAAAAGGTCCTCTTTCAACAGTTCCGATTTCCCTTCATGTTCCTTTCGAAGTGATTGGGGAACAAATGTTCCCAATCTAATTTCTCGCTCTACACAGTAAGGAACAAATTGTTCCTATTTACTGGCATATCCACTGCTGTTCGGAACGCCTTGTTCCCTTTCGGTTCAAATTGTTCCTATTCATGCCCAACAGGAACGGAATTGTTCCTAATCGAGGTGGTTTTTTGTTCCTCAAGATGAGTGTTATGTTCCGCTTATAAATGGGAACAGGTTCCGAATTTGTGACAAAGGAACTAGCGTTCCATTTTGCGCAAAGTGTAAAAAGGAATAGGGAACAATAGTTCCTATTTATCGTAGGCTATCTGAAACTACTGTCCATCACCTCCGCTATACAAATTTATCAAAACATGTTTCCGTCAACAATCAAGTTAAGTACGAGACTTGCCCGCTGCATGCTTAATCTCGTTTGGGCTTGCCCGCGCAAGTTTAGGCTTGTGTCTTTGTTCCTTTTGATTAATTGTGTACCAAATACGGACAAGAAAACAATGGGACAAGGGGCAAGAATGACCAAGTGTGGGCAGAGATGGGCTAACAAATATCTCATTGGCCAATAGGATGATCTCTTGGGGACCCTTTTGCTAGTATAAAAACATGCATACTTTAGAAAAATATCGATTTCAAGCTAATGCTTAAGATGAACAAACGAGGCAAGGATGTCGACTGGTCAAAGTTAGCAAATGCATCCCCTAAACCAAAGAGACTTCACTTAGAAGAGGATGACTGTGATGGTCTTTTTCACTGCCCAGTGCAAATTTGTAACCACGATGGATTCACTACGCAAAGAGGCTGTAGAAAACACGTAAAGAGCAAACACAGTTGGTACTATTACTTCGACGAGAAGCCAGACAGTGCGCAAATCGATACGCTTAATGTCGATGAAACCGACAAATGTGAAGCCAGTGATCAGAAGATTACGCCGCGTAAAAGCAGGGCAATTGCCTCTTTTGATTCTACGAACAAAATTGCCAAGAACTTTTTTTCGTGGCTCACTGGCAGCGGTGGGGGCTGTAAAAGTGATCGACAAGCACAACAGATCGTGAGCAAGTGCTTAAAGTTTCTCAAATTTTGTTGTGAAGACGAAGAGGAGCTCACATTTGACATTGTGGACTTTAGTTTATGTTCACCGAATCTCCTTTTCAAGTTTGTTGATACCATGCAGGATGATTGGAATCTGGGACACGCGGGACGCATAGGCTACTTGGATGCCATTGCAGAATTGGTGGATTATCGAAAAGTGAATGGAGCATCGGAATCAGTGTTGAGAGGGCTGGCTTCAACAGAAATTTACTTGAAAAAGGTGCAAAACCGTTTCCAAAATGATGCGCTTGCAGTGGACCAGTGAGCTCGACATCGATGCCTTAGAAGCCAAGGGGCACTGGGCCACACTAGAAGAACTGTTGGAAGTCGTGGGGCGCTACTTGCCGCGCTACGAGAGGGTACTGAAATCATGCAAGGAGAAACCGGGTGCTGTTTTGCCAATAGATTTATCTTTTGCTACCAAATTTTTGGCCGTCTATTTATTTATCAAGGTCAAGGGCTCGCGCCCCATGACATATCAGTACTTAACAGTGGAAATGGTGAACAAAGCCAAGACTAACGGTGGCTTTATAGACCAGAAAATGGAAAATTTGGCTTCGATTCTCTTTACCTGACTGAGACGAGCATGCAAGTGTTGGATGGCTACATCAACCACATTCGCCCCCTACTCAGACCGACCTGCGACTTTGTATTGGTAACAAGAAATGGAGGGCAGCACAACAAGCTGGGAGAGCTAATGAGTAAACTGTTCTTCGATGCAACGGGCAAATACGTTCACCCGACTCGCTATCGACAGATTGTGGAGACCGCGAGTTGCAGGCAGCTGAGCAGCAGTGCCCAGAGCACAATCTCCGAGGACCAGAAACACAGCTCCGTTGTTGCAAGGGTTCACTATCAGAAGCAGCGATCGCGCGAGGTGGCGAGCAAAGCACATGAATATTTGGAACGATTGCACGGAAAAAAGGGATCAGAGCTAGAAATAGACGTGCGCTCGAGGCTTTCTGGCAATTCTGCGTCTTCTGAAGATCAAAACGGTAGCAAAACCGATACTTCCTCTAACGACGAGGGAGAAACGATCGCAGAAACACCACCCGAGCGTCTTTCAGGTGTCCCGAGACTAAAGCGGGAAAATGCGTTCATAGCGACAGATTTCCCGGCGAGAAAAAAGAGTCTGATGTTCACCCCTGAAGAAGACAATCATCTAAAAGCAGGCATCGAGCGACACGGCTACGGTCAATAGAAAGCGATTCTCAGGGATCCCGAATATCGTTTTCAAGAGGGAAGGACAGCCAACTCCCTGCTAAGCCGTGCAGCGCGAAGATTTGGATCACTTTCTAAGTTATCCTAGAACTTTGCATTGTGAGCAAAACATAATTTTGCGAAGGGCACCAGAACACTAAACTGTAGTTAGGTCATAACACAAATTAAACTTAAGAGGGCCCCCCCTCGGAAGTTTTCGTCGACTGGACAAACGCAATGCACTAAGACTACGATGTTTTAACCGGAATTCTAAGTGGAATAGTTTGAAAGTTATAAAACGGGACAAAAATACGTTCTTTTGGCGGGCGACACTTAAAAGCTAGTAGTGATCGTAAAACAACACATGTTTAAGCACAAACAATTTTTATTTGGACTTGATCACGAACAAATGAATCATCTTGCACAGGCAGTTGATCGTGAGCACGTAGGACACCTTACTGACGATAGGCTTAACTCGAGTTAAACTGAAGGACCTACGAATAAAGGGCAATAATGCAAAATACAATGTTCTGTTTCGTGTTCTGAGCGCAGACCTCCTTCTGGCTGGAAAAGCTTGAGGATTGTGTTCTCACTGTTGCTGAAGCCCTGTTCCTTCTGGCTCTTTGAACGAACTCGCCCTTCCTATTTTCTTGCCCTCTTCGTCCCTTTCTGGAGTTGCTGCTCGCCCTAATTGGTCCTCAAAAACTCTAAGTGGTTCGTCTGCCAGCTAGGAACCTGGGTAAATACCTCATCGGCGCTGTCGTCCTCGGTACCCGCTTCGGCTTCTGCGACACCTTGCTCTTCTGTCGGTCTTGGCAAGGGTTCCGTCACATTTTTAACATGAGCTGGTCTGCTTCGCGCAGTATTCCCAGCTCCACGCAGACTCTCCTACGTTCCGCCACCGCTTCCTCCGTGTTGAAGGTCCCAAGATTCTGATGGTGGAGCTTCAGCTTGTCGGATAGGACCTCCTGGTACGCCATCAGGCTACTTCGCATGTATGGATCGTCTGTACGACTGTACTTTTCTACACACTCGTCAAGTTCCTTCTCCGTGGAACGCAGCCAAGAACCAGCGAAGACTAAACGTGCCTTCTCGCGGCGCTGCTGTACCAGGTGTTCTCTCTGTGCTCTTCGATTCTCTTCGAGATCAAGAACAATTGGAGTGGGCATCTCCTCGCCCGGGTCTAACGGAAGCAACTCTGCGTTCTGGGTGCTCACTCCGTTCTTCCTCAGCATGGATTTTCGCCTCAGGTGCTGCTGTCGTTTTCTCTTCTCTTCCTCGGCTCGTTTCCTCTCCTCCTCCATCAGCATCTGCTGCACTTGCCTGTGTCGTAGACTCTCTGGGTGCGATCTGCTTACGGCTTCCCTCAACAAATCGAGGCGGTCGATCGAGGTGCTACATACACCATCTTCATCGGAATTGTCGTCTTCTTCGTCTGTCGAAAGTGCAATGTTAATCTCGCCAGTGGCCAGGGGATTCGCAAGTGACAGCGACCTAAGTGCTTCCTTTTCCGTCTCCTTCAAAAGACCTTCCTCGTCATCTACGTCGTTGTCATCGTCGCTCTCGGTATCGGTTTCGTCCTCGCTGTCGTCGTCACATGTTTTTGCCTTCTCAGCAGCCCAAACAACGCATTCCATGGCGTGCTTTTTGAGCCACGCTGCCGCCTTTCGTTTGGGATTCGGGAGGCCCTTGAACTGATACATCCATTGCTGGCTGGTCGGCGGGACCGAAATCGAGCTTACGCTGCGCAGTCACTAACATCGGGCAGTTGTTAAGGAATGCTTTAGCGGTCTGATACTTAACGTCGTGAGCGGTATATCCTCCTTGCGTTAAGATTTTCTAGTCAGCGATGTCGAGTGTTTTCTCGTCTGCCTGATCGATGAATATGACTTCTGTAAATGGGGTGATCATGGCCTTATTGAACGCCCGTTGCTTCGTAACGGTGGCGATGTTGCCATGGTGTACGAGCCCTTGTATCGGAAAAAAACAAACTTGTTTTTCCGCTATTCGCATCTCCCACGAGACAGGGTACTTTATCTTTGTGCTGCTTCCCGTTGTAGTTTAGCAGTTTTAGGAAATCACCGCAGAATGTTGAAACTTCATTTTCAGACAGGCTATTCTCTAGGATTTTCCGAAAATACTTTGGATCAGCATATTTAGATGGATCATATGCGCAAAATGCCCTGGGCGATACTTTTCCAATTTGGCGCTCTTCAATGGCATTCTCTTTGAATGCACGATCTTTTAGGGACCAGCAAACCCCATCGTTGACTTTTATCAGGTCGTAACCTATGACCAGAGGATGAAACAGTTCACAGTGTGGGTCTGACAACAGTTCAATTATCCTCTTCATGTATTGGATAAGTCGCGATTTAAATTGCTCGTTAGTAGCGAGAGTGTTGATGAAATTCCTTGCTTCGCACTTGTACGTGTATGTGTAAATTGCCCCTGGATCCCTCTTGTACACTTTGCCTCGATAGCTGGCGTATTGTAACTTTTGCATAGCGATGGTGATGTCGTTGACGAGAATCGTGAGTTTATCTGATAAATGTTTCTCTTCGCGTTCAGAAACCGGCAGCGTCGTGTCGCGCGTAAAGCCAAACTTGTCAATTTGTAGCTTAGCTTCCATCATCTTTTCCAGAGCGTTTGATAATGGCTGCTGAAAACTTGGCTTCACGATAATGACACGAACGACATTTTCTGTCTCACAGCCTTCCAATTCTTGTGGTTGCGATGTTGCGAGTAAGCTTGATAATTCCTCGCGATAATTGTGCTCGTATGATGCTGTCACGAGGTCTTGCATATAGGGATTTTTATGGTCTTTGAGTAGATTGTACAGTTCTCGAATGGCAATACACTCTTTTCCATCTTGAAATTGCACCTGGTAAAGTAGAAACTCAAATTTAGTGAACGGATTTTTTTTTTGGAATTGTCATCGCTAACTATGTCGTATAATTCGTAACTCATCCCCGTAACAGCTTGCCTCTGATCATTCTATCAGCTGTAAGGTATTACATAAGTTGTACGGAATAAACCTGCTCAATTATAAAAGTATCTATTAGTAAGCTTTAACTTGCCAAGAATACGTCCCATACCTGTTTTGCTGTGACACCCATCCCACACTCTAGCAGGGTTCGATGAACCACCAAGGGATTTGCGGGGGCGCCATTGGGTGACGTGAGTGCAATCCAATAGGTCAGCGATGGCCAAAGCAATTTATTCACACGAGTTCGACTGCCATCAAGCCATTGTTCGGAAGACGTGCTTGGCACAGGACTTGGTTCGGGTTCTTCTTCGCTTTCCTCGCTTTCCTCTTGTACGTTTCCCTTCTTTTTCTCGTGTGTAGATATCGCACTGAAAAAAAAGGTTGCATTCGGAATACCTGAAAATAGACAAGATTCGTTTTAATTTTTTTTGGCAAACCAATAATTAGCATGAAATTTGATGAAAGCTAACCTGAAAGGGCTCTGTCACACAAATCTCGCTTTTTGCAGATGTTGTTCCACGATTTGGGAAGCTCCTTTTCGCTTACGTTCCAGACACATTTCGCGCTCACAATGCTACATTGGCCGGCGATTACGGGACTCATGTAACCCAACGTTGCTCCTTTTATCCCCTCGCTGTTAAGTTGTTTGCACGGTCCTGTGGCTCGACGCATCTTCGTCAAATGTGCAGCGATAAATGAGGCTCAAACGGCTGCATATATAGCTGTCTTCGACTTGTGAAGTTGATAAGAATAAATATGAAGAAATGTCACTCGCTGTTTTTGACACTGTTACAGTTTCAACCATAATGGTCAACTAATTGCAAGCAAACCTGGCCATTATTATGGAATTTATGTCGCAGTTTTCTCGCAGTTTTTGTCCCTAGGGTTGACAGGTTTTTAAGGGAAAACAAGTGGACAGAAACTAGCGATAATTGCAACACAAAACGGTTACTTCAGAGTTACGTAATTCTGCGTTCTTCTGTGTTACTCGAAACGTATCTGGTGAAACCAACTAAATTTTGTAAAGAGTGCTGTTAATTGGGCATGGAAAATTATTGTTCCAAACCTTACGTGGTTTCAACATTCATACTATTGATAGGCGGCTTTGTCTTATCATTGAGAGAAACACAAAGGGAACAGATTTGACTCGTTAACGTTTTAAAGAACGTTGGCGATAATTGTGAAATTTCGTTCGCAGTTTTCTTACAGTTTTTGTCCCCAAAGTTCATAGGTTTTTAAGGGAAAACAAGTGGACAGAAACTAGTGATAATTGCAACACAAATTGGTTACTACAAAGTGACGTAATGCTGCATTCTTCTGCGTAACTCGAAACTTCCCTGATGAGAACAACTGAATTTTGCAAAAAAAGTGCTCAAAATTGGACATGGGAAACTATTGTTTGAAAACTTACTTAATTAAACCATTCATACTTTTGTAAGGCTTGCTTATTGTTGATAGAAAAACAAATGAAACAGATTTGAGTTGCAAACGATTGTCATGTACTTTGTGCTATTCCGAGTTTCCTGAAACGTAGGTCTGAACAAAAGGTGCTCAAACTGATCAAATGTAATACATTTCTTTTACCTCAAACATCTTCTCAAACAAGGACGGGAAAGATGGATCTGATCCCCGCTAAATCCATGAAATCCGTCTTTCCCGTTGACTTTAATAAGTTTACATTGAAGAGCACTTACAGTGCTGTGAAGTGAATCAATTGTAATATATTAGCTTTGGAAACATCTTCTCAAACAAGGACGGGAAAGATGGATTCGACGAGTTTGACGGGGATATGAATTTTTAATGAAATAGTTAATCATATACTTCTCTTTAAAACTGTAAGTATATATTAAAGAAATATTTATTAAATATTGCTGAGAATTTACTTACAGTATTCAAGAGTAGTTTATAATAGAATATATCATTAAAAATTCATATCCCCGCTAAATCCGTGAAATCCGTCTTTCCCGTTGAATTTCAGAAGTTTACATTGGAGAGCACTTACAGTGCTGTTAAGTGTATCAATTGTAATATATTACCTTAGGAAACATCTTCTCAAACAAGGACGGGAAAGATGGATTCGACGGGTTTGACGGGGATATGAATTTTTAATGAAATAGTTAATCATATACTTCTCTTTAAAACTGTAAGTATATATTAAAGAAATATTTATTAAATATTGCTGAGAATTTACTTACAGTATTCAAGAGTAGTTTACAATATTATATATCATTAAACATTCATATCCCTAAAAATCATAGTTAAATCCGTCTTTCCCGATGAATTTTAGAAGTTTACATGGAAGGAACTTACGTTACGTTAACTTATGTTAGCTTCCGAAACTTCTTGTCAAAGACGGGAAAGACGGATTTGACGGGAGTAATGGGAGAGCGACTACCTAACAACAGAATTCACTATAAAGCGGTTTTTTTTGGCGTTAAGCATCTTTGTCATCACTGACAAAGAAGGAACTAAATTTTGGGAAAGCCTTTAAGGCTAACATATCTTCACACAGTATAGGAACAAGCGTTCTTTTCAATGGCCGTTCCTCTCACAAGGAACGCTTTCGCGGAATAACATCCAGATATATTTGCAGTTTTTAGCAAAAGAACTGAGAATGTGCTTTTTAGCTTTTTCCTGCATAAAACTACTAGGAGATATAGTTTTAGAAAGATCTTCGCAGGACTTAGTATTATTTTAAGGCTTCAAAAAAAGGGAACTGAATTTTTGGGAAACGATCATAAATGTTTTTGAAACCAGGATAAGGATCAATAAAGGGTTCATCATCATCATCATAACAATCTTTACAAAAATTGATATATTGATTAAAATTATGAAAATTCTCTTTAATCTTAATTAAATTATTAACATCATTATAATTAAACTCAAAATTGCTAATATCTTTAAGTTTACCCTTTTCTTGCCCTTTTAAAAATCTTTTTATAAAATACTTAATTCTATCAACTTTGTGGCTCTCAAATAATCCATTAGGTGCCTCATTAATATGCTCAACAAAATACTTAAATTCTTTATTTAATCCTATAATAAAAAGGTATTCTTTTTTGTAGTTCCTTGCGTATGGTGGGATTTTATTAGTTGATTAAATAAAATTCTGTAAATTCGAAGAATTCGCCAGGATACCCATTTCTATAACTACTGAACGAATTGAACTGAAAAATAGACCCAGATCGATGTCACGTAATATTTACATGTAGGTGATCACGTGCCGCAAATACATCTGCGTGGATATTTTTGTCTTGCTCTTGCTCATTTCTTCATTTTCTTCCTTACTAGCATACAATGTTTTCGTTTTGGATTTTTGTAACTTTTTTATTTGTAATCACAAGCCTATTTCGAAAGAGAGTTCTTTGTAGCATTACTTTGAATCGGTGTTCATACACGCATCACATTTACTTTTCCCATTTTCTAGTGACTGTGCAACAAACTAGGAATCCTATCTAGTTTTAGCTCCAAAAGTCAAATGCCTGGGCAGTTCCATTGCTAATGATTTCCTAAAGCTAGATAAAAGGAAATAGTAATATATATCTGAAAAAGGGTTAGTTATTGGCCGCAAAGCGAGTTTTTGTAATTTGTATTAATTGCATTTACCAATTTGCCCATGGCAGGTGAACACGCAAATAGGTCCCCATCATGGCGCATTAGCTTTTTAGGAATTATGTTCAACAAGATACCTTTTGACGCAGAAGTAGACGCACGCTT